AGACACGAAAGACAACTCTTTGCTGGGCTGGGTCTTTATTCTTGTGTTTTTGAACAAAGCAGAACCCATCCCTTGAAATGTGGGAAGAAGGGAGAAAATAAGTATTTACTGGCAATGCTTAGGTTGCAGTAAAATCCAAGATGTGTTGAAAGAATACTCCTAAAAAATATGCTTTTATATTTAAACATCTGTTCTCAACAGGTTTTTTATGAATTAGATGAGTCAAACTCCAGCCCTGGGCCAAAGCCCAGCTCCATTAATTACACAAGGGCAACCTCCCTCCCTCCAGCTGTGGCTTCCCGCTGCATCCTGGCCCACAGCGGCTGAAGGATGGCTCTTCAGTCAGGGAATTTGTTTCCCCTGCTGCAAAGCACCCACCTTTCCAGCTCATCTCAGCTGGAAAGGCATGTGCAGCGTGAGGGAGCACCTTGAGGAGGAGCAGAGATCAAACAGGTTTAGAAATATTAACTCCTAACCCTCACCTTCCAACTCAGCCTCTTGGACCTTTCTTCTCTGCATCTCAGTGGCCTCTCTCTTACACTTATTTTTCTTGTTTTGCCTCCACAAGGGGAACTTGTGGAGGCAAAACAAATTTCCTCCTCCCACTCCCCATTTGGGTCTCCAGGCAGACAACACTGGCTCAGTGCTCTTCCTCAAGTCCAGCTTTTTCCATCCATTGAATTTCACAGCACATCAGCTCAGGACATGGCACAGACCCACCAGATAAATGGTCTTTGCATCAAAGCAAATACCTGAAGAGCTGTCAACATTAGAAATAAATTTTTCAGGAGGTTTTGGGTCAGAACTGTAGAAAAATCCAAGTGAAGATGTTATCTGGGTAAACATTTGGAAAGCCAAGAGATGGATGCTGGCTGTGCTTTGAGCAAGGTACACATTGCCTTTGCTACACACAAGTTAATGTTAGAAAGGCAGATTAATATATAAACTTGTTCACTGAAGGGTAACACCAATCCAGCAATTTACAGTGGGGAAATGAAGGTTCTCCTGCTTGTTCCATAGAGACTAAATCTTACTGGTTTCTTTCAGAGCATGGCAACAGCTGTCTAAGATAGCTTGAAATCTAAACAACCTTCTGATGGACATTCACTAGGCTTCTTCTAACAAATCCACAGTGAAAATCTGTACCAAGACCTCCAGGCTCTCTCCAAATGTGCCATGGTGTCCTCATTGTGCAAGGCAGGAGTGTCCAGGTCCTGGCAGTGGTCAGCCAGCATCCATTCCGTAGTGGGGGACAGCCAGGAAGAGGCAGCATCTCCCCATGCTACATTCCAGGGAAGTGGATACCCTGTGAAGGATGCCTGGGAAGCATGGGAGAAATCACCCTTTCATTCAGCAAACAAGAGCAAGAGATCCATTCTGTCATTGTGTATTTAACTTTGATTTTTAATCTTTTTTGTGGTTAATACAGGTGAACACAAAAAAAAAATCCTCACAGTTTTCCAGAACTGTTATGACAAGGGACTGCATCTATCTTTGTTGAAGCCTTGCTGAAAACACAAGCAAGTATTAGGAAAGAAAACTAAATCTAAACACATGTGCTGTGACATTTATTGTTACAAGATCAGCTCCTTCAGTGAACTAACCGCAAATAGCTTAGAAAATTTCTGGTGGGAACAAAAACCTGGAAAAACCCAGCTCCCCAGGTTCTGTTTTGATTTTTGTATAGGAGGGAGCCTGTTATTTTACCCAGCAAGGAAACTCCTCGTGTTTGGCTCCCTGGTGCTCCCATCATAACTCCTGGTAGTGCTGCAGGTGCCCATCACACCTCACCAGGGTGAGCAGCAACACAGCCCAGCACAACAGCCTCCCAAATGCCGGTGCTGGGATCTTCTCAGGGTGTTTTCCCTGCCAGGGGAACGTGTCTGTGGAGCAAGGGTATGTTCTTCCATCTTCTCCATCCCTGCCTGGCACCAACACTGCTGAGTGCAAGGGCCAGGTTGGGCTGTGCTGGGCTGGACTTGCACTGGCTACAGCCATGGAGATCTGTCCTGTGGCCAGAGGTTGGTTGCCCAGGAGTTGAAGAGAAGAGACCAAAGACCTGAGGAAGCAAAAAGCTCAGGCTCTGCATCACACAACAACAACAATCCCTTGGCTTTAACAAAGAACAAGTCTGAACTAGAGGGTCTCCCTCTGAGGTTAAAGTGAGGTGTAGGATAGGGTTTGTGAGATCATCCCACAGCAACCATGGACTGGGGAGAAGGCAGGGAACAAAAATGCCGCTGGAGCTGGCTGCAATTTTTCACAGGCCCTTTCTCTTCACAGATGGAAGACTGTCAGGAGACAGGAGTGACTCTCCTGCCTGTAGTCTGGGGATAGGATGAGACATGGCATGAGGCAGTCAGGTGTGAGTTAACAGCACGGTTTAGTCTCATACTTGGGGACTGAGCAATCTGAAAATAAGATCTGAAAGCCACATTTTGTCCAGGCAATTGCATGCCTCAACTCCACTTTGGCCTTTGCTCATAAAAGACCAGTCAAATTCAACAGCAGGATAAGTAAGTGCTAGTGGCTTCAATGGATAATGGTAATCTTAAAATAATCGCACATTCCTCAAATAAATGTGATGGTTTAGAAAGACTTGGGTGTAAATATGTACAAGTATAAACGTGTGTGTATATGCATGTATGCATTTATCTCTCTATAATTAAATCTTTTATTAGAAAGCATGAATGAAGAGTGCTAACATGGGCATCCACAGCATACATGCTTTTCTTTCCCAAAGCAGAGGCTCAGAGTGCCAGCACAGCAGGAGTCAGAAGAGGCCATCTACCATGTAACTCCACCATCATTGTCTAGAAGAACTCCTGGACTCCCACAGGATTTGGGAAAAGCCAGGAGTCAGCACTGCTGGCTCCCTCAACACTGTGCTTTTGATGTGAAGGATTCTGGCTCCTTGCTGGTCTGGCTGGGTGCCATGCAAAACTGATCCACATGCCACATTTGCCAATTGTACTACACACTTCCACCCTTGTTGTTGAAGATCAGCCAAGATACTATCCACTGGCCCTGCTGGGAAATGGTCTTAAAAGGCACCAGGCCATCATTAAAAGGAGTTTGCCAATTTTAATTGATTTTTCTGAGGAGTCATGTGCTTATTAGGCTTTTAGCTTTTGGGAAATTTTCTCTTTAATTCTCACCAGTCCTTTAGGAGCAGGGAAATATCACTGAATGGCCTCAGAGTCCTTCTGTGTCACTACTAAACCTCAGCAGCATTTGAGATCACCGCTGCTCAAACATTTTCCTGGCTCCAGCAATGATCTGCTTCAAAACACAAGGCATTTGGCTCATTTTGACAGCTGGTTTATGGAGCCAGCATTGCTTCCAAGTGAATCTGGGGAACTGTCCTGGAATGAACTGTTTCCATGGGGGCAGCCAGGAAACTTTCCAGGAGGCTCCACTCCCTCAGAGACAGCCAGCAGGGATGGAGGAGGAGGAGGAATTTTCTCACTTGTTGTTGAGAAGAATTTTTGTCTCTGATGCTTGCAGAGCCTGTTCCCCTTGGGACATTTTGTTTGGGGCTATTTAATCCCATATTCAGCTCCACCATCTCCTCCTCCGCAACCAGGCCTCATCATTTCTCCTTTCTCCAAGACCTGCCTCAGGTCCAAAACGACTTTGTGACTGGCCCTGGCTCTGGACCCAGGGCTCTGCATGTGACACCACACCCCCACGCTCCCAGATGACCTACTCTTCCGACAGACCATCCTTCTCAGTCACAGTTTGTGTGGGAAGAGACCTATAAAGGTCATCTAGTTCAACCCCCTGCCATTCCACTACACCCAGTCTCTCAGAGCCCCATCACTCTGACCTTGAATGTTTCCAGGGATGGGGCATCTACCACTTCCCTGGACAACCTGTGCCAGTGTTTTACCACCCTCATTGTAAAAAAAAAATCTCTTCCTTACATCTAGTCTGCATCTGCCCTCTTTTAGTTTAAAACCTTACTCCTTGTCCTATCGATACATGCTCTGGTAGAAAGTCTATCCCCATCTTTCTTGTAAGTCCCCATTGCTATGAGCTTATCTATCTGGCAATGATCTGACTTCTCGTTGCCTTCTTTCCTCCAGCCCCTCCATTACAAACTCTTGGGCTTTAGCTCAGTGGTTTAGGAAGAACCAGCAAAATAAATGACTGGTAGATGCAATCATTGCAGTCAGTGCCGAGGAGCAGCAAGAGGCGTTACACCTCTGTGCCTCCTGCCTTTATCAGCCTCTGGTTTGGAAGGAATGGAAGCAGAACGGGCTGGACACCAAGCAGCCACTGTACTCCTCGGTCCCTGGAGGGAATGACAGGCTTGCCTTTAATATCTATTATCTTCTACTGTCGAACAATGTGCAAATATTGCTCTGCTAGAAGCAAAGAGCAGCCGGGGATGGCTGGGGGATCAGCTCCACAGGCCCAACAGAGTGACTCGGTCTGCGGGCATCGGCTAAAGGCGTGCCCGGCTGGCCCATCCTGTGCCCGGGGGCTTCCCTGTGACTCCAGGCACATGGCGGAGCCGCACCCAGTGCCGCAAACCTGCCCCGCGGGGCATTCCCGCGCTGGGCTGTTCTGCACAGGTCTGCAAGAGCCGTCTGTGAGAGCTGTGTTACGTGTAGTAGCCCAGGAGTGCTGCTCCTGCTGCTTGTCCCGAAGATGACAATGTCCTCCCCCGGCTCGGGGAGATGTATGTAAGGATGTGGTGCTTGGGAGGCCCGAGCTAACGGGCTGGGCTGGAAAGTTTTGGAAGGGACAGGGAGCGCGGCAGCCTGCCCAAAACCGCGATCAGAGACGGCCGTGCACCCTCCCCTGCGCCGCCGGCTCCCTCCCCCGGCCCCGGGGCGCTCCGGGGTGGGATTCTCCCCCCGAAAGGCTCCCGGACCGCCGAGCGCCGCTCCCGCCCCGGCCGGGAGAGGCGGCGGCCCGGAGCGCAGCCCGCCGGGTGCGGCCATGGGCAGCGGCAGCAGCCGGCGGCGGGGGCCCGCG